CATATAATCAGATAAAAACCATTTTCTTAAGCCCCCCCTCCCCACTCAAAAATCGATCTCAGCCCAGGAACGTTCATATGTGCTGAAATTTGGGGGATATGTTGGGGCTCAAGTGGGAAGGCTGTGGTAAAATTTTCAGCTCGATATACTGACGTTTGACAGAGATATGAACCAAACAAGGGTCAAAAATAGCACATTTGGCAAGCAAGATTTCTCTGTCCGAGCTCTTTCAATATTTTTAAATTTTTTTTTGTTTGAAAGAGCATCTCAAGATGCAGGGCACCAAGGGGTCCTTTTTTTTAAATACTTACTTTTCAAGCGAAAAAAGGGCATCACAAGTTCAATGACTCCAAAAGATCACAAAAAATGACTATTTTTCTATAGACATGTTTTCTTATACAATAATAAAAAGGCTTATTTCAAAAAAAGGACCCGTTGGTGCCCTGCATCTGAACATGCTCTTTCAAACAAAAAAAAAATATTAACATACTGGACGAACCATGACAGAGAAATTTGGGATGCGCGTACGAGAAAGCGAAAAATGAGAAAAAACGAAAAAGATTTTTGGATATTTCAAAAACCGCTGATTTTTCAAAAACTGGTTCTCTGAAATTCTGAAAAATTTCTATGAAAAATGGAGGTTTCAGGAAAAATTTTTACCAATTCTGAAAGAGCAGACGACGGACTATTTTCCTATGTATTTATCTCAATTTTGACAGTTCTCACGAAAATTGACTTTTTTTGAGGAGGGGGGGGGGGGGGCTTAATCAAAATAAATGATTTTTAAAATCATCATATCAAATCCAAGGCATCAAATCAAATTCAAATCAAGCAGTCTTCGAACAAACTGGTTCTTGCTTAGCTTATATTGGCAGAACGAAATCATCTGCCGAACTAGATCGATCGATCGCGACATTAGCTACACCTGTAGATACCCATGTAAAAATAATTTGAATTTAACGGTTTAAAACGCGTTAAGGGCTCCCCCTCTCAAAAAAGTCAATTTTGGTCAAATTTATCGATTTTGTGATTCATAACTCATTAGATAGAGCAAAGTGTCTACTCTCGAATGCACTATAGTTGATTGATTTTATCATGAGATCTAAGGATATTACATAGGTTTTTTTGAACCCCCATATTGAAAAACAATAAGGTTTTTAAAAACTTATTCTCCGTTTTTCTCGAAATCAATTTTTTCGAGCATACCGTTTACGTGGGCAAGGTTCTTTTAATAACGACTCAATAGAGAAGTGATAATTTTTTTTATTGTAAAGAGGACAGTTAGGGCTAGATCCTCACGGAGTTTGATTTTTGAATTCCTCTTTTGGTGAAATAAAAACATTAGATGTTTTATTTTTTAGTAGCAGGTTTTTGGGCATGATTTCGTGAATTTTACAAGAAAGGGCTTTTAAAAAACAAACAAAGAGAAATGCAAAAATCGGGCTCTGTGAGGACCTGGCCCTAAGGGTACTCTACAACTTGAAAACCGCCCGGGCTTGGTAGTTCATATTCTTATTGTAAAATCCTTGCTCGCGTACAGGGTACTTTTGACCAATAAATTGACTATAAATCATTATTTTATTGGAGATTTGGAGAAGATATTTTAACCATAATCTCTTCTAGCCTATAGTAACATTCTCTGAAATTTTAGTTGAAATCGGATGAAAAATAATAAAGTTGGTTTCTGAGAGGGGCTTCCTTAAAAAATCGATTTTAACGACGTGCCACGCGTTTTGCTTCGTTACAATGAGTTCTAACGGACCAAAACGTGTGAAACGTCGTTAAACACGGATTTTTAAGGCCCCTCCCCCCCACTAAAAAAAAATCAATTTTCGTCAAAATTATCGAAATTGAGATAAATGCATCGGAAGATAGCCCGTCTTCTGCTCTTTCAGAAATCACATTGGTTTTTCTTCGGTACCTCGTTTTTGGCCAACGTTTTCCATGATTTTTGTTAAGCTCTTCTTGAAAAATATGCTTATTTTAAAAAAAAAACGAAAAATGTTTTTCATTTTTTCTCAGTTTAGGCTTTCTGAATCGCGCAATCCATTTTTCTCTGTCCAAGTTCATTCAATATATTTTCATTTTTTTTTGTTTGAAAGAGCACGTCAAGATGCAGTGCAGTACAGAGTCCTTTTTTAATTAAGCTTTATTTTTTATTATATATACAGACATTTATGTAATTAGACACCCATTTTTGGCGCGTTTTTTGAGTCACTGAACTTGTGATTCCCTTTTTTCGCTAAAAAAGTAAGAATTTAAAAAAAAAGGACTCTGTACTGCACTGCATCCTGAGATACTCTTTCAAACAAAAAAAAATTAAATATATTGAAAGGGCCTGGACAAAGAAAAATGGATTGCCAAATGAGCTATTTTTGGTCCTTGTTTGGTTCATATCTCTGTCAAATATCAGGGTATCGAGCTGAAAATTTTATCACAGTCTTCTCACTTCAGCCCCAACGTATGCTCCAAGTTTCAGCCCATTTGAACTTTCCTGGGCTGAGATCGATTTTTGAGTAGGGGGGGGGGGGCTTAATGCGTTCTAAATTGTTAGACTCAAATTACTTTTACATGAGTGACGTAGCGCAAAAATAGTTTATACATATCTTTCATGTGATCATCTGCACTTTTCCATACAGACACTCACCATACTTGATCTGACAGGCTGTCAGATGGGAGTTGAAGGGACGCGACATCTGGCTGATGCATTACAACACAACAGGGTGGTATTCATTCTATCTTGTTCTCTTCATATAGCCAACTTTATCTTTTCACACAGGTACTCACTACACTAAATCTTCAGTATAATGAAGTCGGAAACAATGGAGCACGACATTTGGCTAATGCATTGCACGAGAATACGGTAACTGTCATCCTAGTGGGTAGCTTCTACAGAGCACATGGATATGGACCATTTATTAAAATCACATCTTTTTCAAAAGAATAGCATTTTCTACTCCTTATAAAGCAATCACTGATACAAAAAGTGAAATAAGTGAAATGAATGTTTTCATGAAAAGTTCCTGCGAAGATTGTTACTCTATAACAAAGATTGTACACGGTAACTCTGTCCTATCCTGTTCTACATAGTAGACTATGGTTAGGATAACAAATCCGTAGATTAGCGTAAGCTGAGGTTAGGGTGCGAGGTTTATAAAAGCAGAATCGGGTTAGGATAAAACAAAATTGCCAAGAGTAGGATTAGGGCACAATGAACAACTTGCCCTGCGTGCCTCTAGTAGGGTTGCAGTATGGTTAGGGCAACAAGCACATAGGATAGGGCTAGAGTAACAGAAAGGTGCCTGGGATAGGATTATGGTATAAAAAAGCTTACCCGGCACCCGATGTAGCCGATTCTTCGAAATAATAGCCATTGCAATGCATTATTTTCCAATAGCAACGCCATGTGTGATATGACATGATAATGCAATCTACTTCATGCATTATGATGCATATTTTGCATCAATCCATTGCAATGCATGAAATAGGTTGCATTATCATCTAATTGCGCACATTAGCCGTTATAATGCACTTCAATGTATTTAGAGCTTTATAAGGTATACTCGTATGGCCAGCATCTCATGATTATGCACTTCAAGGTATGCCACTATCCTCAAACTTTTATCTGTATACCCCGAGATCTATATCCTGATAGCTATACTTCCATAGATAAAAGGTATTCCGTAAGTTTCGACTCCCTTTTTATTATTTTTTTCTATCTTCGCACTATTCAATAGTCGAGAGATATTGAATATATTTTTTTAAAGAGCAACATCTAAGCTGCCACTCAACCAAGAGGGAAACAGCAGACTTCCAGACTTCATTAGACTTCACGAAACTTCAACAGACTTCATAAGATTTCACGAGACTTCGAAAGACTTCAAGAGACTTCCGAGACTTCATAAGACTTCAAGACCGAAGTCTCTGCTGTTTCTCCCTTCCACTCAACAAAATTTGTATTCCATTTGCATGAGTCCTGAGAGAGAACCACATCAACAAAAATTTTTGAAAAAATTTTGTCAAAGATATTTTTTGACTTTTTGTCTATGAGAATTTCAAACAAATAGCAGTCACTTACTTGTTCCCTGTTTGCAAGTAAGAGTGCACCAATTCCAACCAATTCAGAGTTTAATTTCAGACTTGGAATTGGTCGGAATCGGTTGGGATAGATCAGAATTGGAATTGACACTTCCCTACTTGCGAGTCATTTTTGTCGCTTCGTTTCTATGGTACGATATTCAGGTTAGAAAAAGCTCGTATTCACGTGTATATTTTAGTCAACAGCACTGTATGTGGGTGTGAACGTAGGTATGTAGTTGGTGTGGGTGAGGATGGGTGTGAGTGTGGATATGGATGTTGTCCTCTCTTTATGCACGCGTACACTCATCCATACCCACATCCACCTATACTTACACCACACCCATACCACACTTCCATCCACACCCACGTATAGTGCTGTTATCTTGAATGTATACACGAATACAAGCTTTCTCTCAACTGAATATCGTACTACAGGATAGGAACGACAAGGATGTGGATATGAATGAAGAAAAGGCCAACACCTACACCCCATTAGCTATTTGATGTATTTTACGGAATAATGGAAAATAATGGGTCATTTTTGCATTATTTATTTATGGGAACAAAATATTTGATCAGTAAAATAGATTAAATGATCAGTAAAAAAATATATAAATGATCAGTATAAAGGTTAAATGATCAGTATAAAGATTTAATGATCAGTACTAAAATTACCAGTAAATAATAATAATATGATCAGTTTATTAAATATAAGTAGCAGTAAAAAATACAATTTATTTCAGTAAAAAATACAAATTTGATCAGTATAAAATAGAGATTTTATCAGTAGAAAAATAAGTTTTAACAGTATGAAGTAACATAGTAAGAGAAAAATAAATTTGAATAAATAAGGAAAAATACGAAAGAACATTTAATAGAAATCCAAGAACGAGTGAGAGAAAAAGAAAATGAAAATGAAATTATTGTACTAGCAAAGCGGGTTTAGCCTTAGCTGGTCTACCTCTTTTTCTTTTCTCACCAATGGGAACTGTTTTTGCTGATGGTGGCGGTTTGCAATATTTTAAACGAATAGCCATACCAACAACGTGCTTGCATATGTAATTCTTAAAAAATCTTGGACAGTTACATTTTGATTTTCTCCAATCTGAACCATTATCCATTTCCATACACCAAATATCAAATGATTTTGTGAATTGATTAAATGTTGACCATGTTTTATTTTTGTATTTATTTAAATTGGCTTGAGATATTGATTGTAAATCACGAGCTGGTATATAATATGTTTTTGAAGAATCATTAGAAATACATATTATATCTTTTGTTGATTTAGCCCATTGATAAGATAAAGTCCATAATTCTAAAGATATTGTTGGTTCAGTAGCAAATATTTTTGCATTGATTGAGGATGCATCTCGTTCAACTGACCAGTTATTGATAATGTTTGTAGCTATTGTTAAAAATCTTGATAAAACATGTCGTTCTCGAAATGTTCCATCATCTTTAATTGTTTTGTTGGTAGCCTCTAGGGCGTTGTTTGTACTTGGTGTATAAACTTGTATACCTTCATACCAACCATCATTTGTTTTGAGCCATTCATTGTGAAAATAATTCATAAAATCTAATATTGATTGATTTTTTTGTTTGTTGTTCATATTCCATTTCTTTATAAATAATGTTGATGCTAATTTGAATACTTCTGTAGAATTAGATAATTGGAGCATTTCAACATCTTCTATAATTTCTTTTGCAATATGTTTGTCATCTATTTGACATACACGATTGTTAATTTTTCTTTTCATGTGTGCCCAACACATTATTTGATTATAGGAAGAACCGAATATATTTGTAAAACCATTTTTAATTGCATCAGCAGCATCAGATATCAATGCTGTTGGATTTAGTAAATCTTTATTTATTTTTTCCATACCAACTTGAATACTATTGAAGATAAATTCAAAATCTTTAGTTTTTTCGTTTGAACATACTGCTAAACCAAATGGATGAAATGCTTTGTTAAAATCAGTAGTACCAACAATTAAAACAGGAAAACCTTGCCAAATTAATTTATATGTAGCATCGGCATGTAAATGTGATGAGATCGATGCAATGTTGAGCAAACGAACAGATGATATAAATATACAGAATTTATTTCCATCTTCTTCTATATCTTCATATTCTTCATTATCATATAATATTTTGTATGATACAACAAAAGCTTTATTTTCATCAATTGGTACTTCTACATTACCTTCACACCATTGTTCTAAATCACCTAAGCTTATTTTATGTAAACCATATTTCTTTTTTTTGTATTGGACAAGGTAATTTTTAATCTGTATTAACGTTGGCATTTTCATTTTTCTTGTTTGAAGTGCTCGAATAATTTGCTTTGGCTTCATGATACCATCATTATATAATTCTTCAATGCACTTTTTAACATTTTCATCAATACCACGAACTTTTTCATCATGATGATCATGTTCACCTTCAGTTTTATAAACAGTCACTTGATCGCTGTCTGCATGATATAACAGATGAATACTTGCACTACATTGAGGTCCACGAAGTTTAGCTTTGTTGCATCTGTAATAAACTCTTCGTCCATGTTCTGTATAATTTGTATACTGTTTTGACCAGATATTTTCAATTGATGCCTCTGCTTCCTCAGCATTATCAAATGTAGCTCCGTTAATCCAATACTTAGATCTTTTCTTCTTCTTGACTTTTTTATTTCGATTTAAATCATTATTTTCTTCGACAACTTCATCCGATAAATCACTGTCATATTGTGCAACCTGTATCACTTCCATCTTTTTTACTTGTTTACACAACTGATGATGAGAGATAGGATAGAAACAAAGAGTACGCATATATCGTCATATATGTCGTACTTGTTATCTGTACGACATAGTCGAAGAACAAAAAAAAAAAAAGGTAAAAAATGAATCATACCATAGCACATTTGAATTTCTACACTCATCTTTTTATTTAATTTACTGTTAAATAATTATATTTACTGATTCTCAAATTTATTTACAACCCTTATTAATTAATAACTGATCATTGAAATATTTTACTGATCAATCATTCTATTTACTGATCAATCATTCAGTTTACTGATCAATCATTCGATTTACTGATTTTATAATATTCTAATGTACTGATCATTTCATCCATTTTACTGATCACTTAAATCGTAGCCTTTATTTATTATCGATTATACAGCACACTTCTATGCTATAATTTTGCCAAAGAAGGCTTACGTGAAAAGCTACCAAAGTGTATATTATTGTAAGCAGTTTTTGATACTGATTTCCCACATGTCTTTATTCCTTTCTCAAAGGGCTTTCGCCATAAAAAAATATAAAAAATCTTTAAAAACTCAGGTGTTTTAGAGAATTTATATCTTATTCCTGGGATATTTATGCATCTTTGCGCTACTGAGGCTAATTATGAGATACAGGAAAAGATTTTCTGAAAGTTCGTCGTCATTGGATTAGTACAAAAAGTGACGACTAAATGTACTGAAGGCTTCTATTCCGAGCACGTTTACTGTAAAAAGAAAACTTCATTTTTTTCCGAATAAAAAGGCAGACAACGGAAATTTTTTACAAAGTGATGGAGCAGAAGTTTCAATATCAGAATATATATGATTTATTGCGGAATTCTTCTTACTTTCCAACAAAAATGATATTTTTCTCTAGAGGTGCCGAATATAATCTTCTTTTACGACTAATTTTGTCATTAAATACCGAGTGGACCAAAAGTAAGGGAACACAGAAAAAATTGAATATATCCATTGCGGCTTGAACAAACGAGCTAGTTTTTTTTATCAATGATAGAAGCATGTTAAAGCTTTATATCCGTAAGGACATACCTAAAGAAACCCTTTGCTGAGTATTACTATTGATTTGAACAAAAAAAATTACTTTTTCACAGATAGGAAATAAAATAATATAAAGGACGGTGCAAAAGTCACTTTGTCGAAAACAAAATTGAATATCTTCATTACAGCTTGAGCAAATGAGCCGATTTTTTTATCAATTCAAGAGGCATGTTCGAGCTTTGTATCCATAAAGACATGCTTAGAGAGATCCTTTGTTAAGTATATTATTTTATTTCCTATCTGTGAAAAAATAAAATTTCTTTCTTAAGATCAATAGTGATACTTAACAAAGGGTCTCGTTAGGCATGTCTTTGTGGATATAAAGCTTGAACATGCTTCTATCATTGATAAAAAGATTAGTTCGTTTACTCAAGCCGTAATGGAGATGTCAATTTTTTCTGTCTTTTCTTACTTTTGATCCACCCGGTATAGCAGCTGAAGCGTACCATTCTTACCAACAAACTGACCATTTATCACAGTATATAAATTACTATTCAAAACCTGGAAAAAGCTCACTTTCGTCTTGTCACTTATTGTCTACGATGCTGTCTACTATGCATTTATTTTTCTGCATCACTTTCATACACTCATCTGTGCTTTTTCACGCAGACACTCGTCATCCTAGATCTTCAGTGCAATCACATTGGAGACGAAGGAGCAAAATATCTGGCTATGGCATTACTAAATAACAAGGTGATCTACATTTATTTGCTCTTGCATAAGGCAACCAGTTTTTGGTTACCGTTTGATCCCTCGTCTCCTCATGTCATCTTTTCGACCAACAATCTCTTTAATGTGTGATAGATGTTTGTGGAGAAAATGTGTTTTGGTCACCGAAAAGTTGCGATCTGATTATCAAACTTCTGTTGCGATGAAATAATCACCAAAAAAAGGAATGTTTTGATCCCCAAACAATGGTCATATAAGTCAATCAAAACTTAACAAAATGCTCCAATGAAAGTAGTGGCGTAACTAGACCAGTGGCGACTCGCTGGCGGTGCCCGGGC